AACAAACACCTTAACTTAATTAACTCTCCTCTTCCCTTCGAGACACACTCGATTCAACGCTACTCAGTCCTTCCCCCGCGTTCTCCCCCACCCCCGCATCGACTCTCACCTCCCGAACCAATAACGGCCCATAGAGCGACCTTGGATGCCGAGGCTCCTCTCCAATTTCGACTCTAGAGAGTCAAGCTTAAGTTCCAAACCTGAATTCCTAGCCTCTCGTTGGGCGCTTGCGCGGCGGCGCTAATTTATGGTTGTTTTGACCTGGACTCATCACTGAGCTGTCACCGGAGAGGGCTTGCAGTAGCTACTATGTAGCATCCATAGCAGACACACACAGGCAGACAGACCAATATCCAAGGGCTAGCTAGCTTGGGTTGAAAGCAGTGATTTCTTTTTGCGGCAATTCTTGCGGGTCGTTGGCTTGGCTGTCGGCACGCACCGAAAGATATCCAGTGATATCCTTTCACAGTTCTAGATTCCAGTAGTCAAAATGTGTCATTCAACGCTTTGCCATATACCAATACTCTAGCTGAACCATCAAGAATGCCCATATCTCGGACACTGCCCGAATCCTCTTCCTTACACGCGTCATCTCATCATGTCGTGTCCTCCTCTTTCATGTACCATCCCAGACCAGACCAGTTTGCGCCTCGGTATCTCATCCACATCGTAAACATTACCAGAAAAAGATCAAATCCAAGCCAGAACGTCCGTCCCGCCCACACCTTCAGTGTCCCGTCCTGTACCCTGTCTAATTCATCTCGAAGGATTTGTGCAACCTTCAACGTTCATGCAATCCTCCATTTCATTTCACCTGCGGCGGCCAAGCACCGAGTCCTATAATCTTATTTGCTTTGTTCCTGACCGAACCTCGGCTCATGTTCAACGAAACGCGGATGACACAGTCGAGAAGGACTTCTTGACGTTGTGCCAGATTAACCCAGCGGTACCAACAACAGCAAAGATCTGAAGAATCTCCCAAGGCTTTCGAGTCTTGACCTCGGTCTCGATGTAGTCGATCTTACTACCAGCCGTACGGGGGAAGCGACCGGTCGTCAGGTACTCTTCCATGAGTGCATCCTTCTTGTACCACTCCTCGCGCAACCAGAGCTCAAACGCCTTTTGGTCGTGAAGGGGCATCTCGCTGATTTTGAAGCGGCGCCAGTGGAAGTTGACCGACTTAGGGGCCCGACCTTGGAAGTAGGTGCTCACCAAACCAAAATATTCCTCACCGAATCCACCTCGGCTAGACGCGTCTGTCAGTCGACAGTTACAAAGCTGTGTAACGGGGGCTTGAGGTTACAACTTACGGAATTCCCTCATATGCGACCGTGCAGTCGTAGACGTATTCAATGCTTCCCTTGAGCTCGTTCAGACAAAAGAACATGCCAGTGCTTCGTGGAAGCATAACATGGTCTGGGTCCTTGAGGTCGTTTTTGGCAGCCCAGCCAGCCGACTTTCTACGCCCATTATTGGAAAGGTTCGTTCCTTCGGGGAACAAGAGCAGCCACATGGGGTCCATATACGATCTTCCATTAGGATCAACCTTGCGCTGCTTGAGTTTGTTGAGGCGGTAGGCGAGGCGGGGCTGATCCGAGGCCATCTTTCGTGACATGAAGATGAATCCGTAGAAGCGCATTCCCCAGCCAATGAAAGGGATGTGCTTGAGAGACTCCTTGAGGATGATATAGATATGCCCATGCATGCCAGGAGAATTGGCGTAAGCAATCCACCACAGATATAGCCAGTCAGTATAGATCTGCGCAAGGGTTAGTTTCCGTCAACCTCGTGAGAAGCAAACTACCGTACTTGATGGTTGGCAATCATCACCAAACGCTCAGGGAACTCGAACTGAACTCCCCCATCGGGTCGCAGTTTGATCTGACCAGCTACCGACTCGTCACCGCTGATTCGGATAGTGGTCGGGCCCCAAATCTGGGTCATGGAAGTTGTTGTAAGACAAAAAGATTGTTTTGTCATAGCCATGTAAGCGTAGTACCAGTCACGATTGACGAAGTACAAGGGAGAGCCGATAAGCTGGGTAAAAAAGATGCTACCGTCATGTTAGTTGCCTGCACCTATGAGGGACTCTGTGTTCCTACATCAAGCAGCATGTGTTGAAGTATAGGGCGAACAAGGAGCCGCGCACAATCTGCATCAGAGCTCCATGACCTTCTTTTCCCGAAGGATGCTCCTCTTTTGGTTTGGGCTTCTGCTTCTCTGCTAAAGACTTCTCTGCGAGACCAGCAAGTAGCTCTGGTGAAGGGATCACCGTCTCCGGTGGGCCATCGGTTTTGGTGTCAGCCATGGCGGCGTCTCTGTTCGTCTGTGTTGTCTATCAGATGTCGTTATAATGTTCTTTACGAGGTATCACGTCGATCAAAACTGAATAAACGAAGAGGCGCCCTCTGGACTGTTATATCTCGTGTCTGCCTTGTTCGAGCTAAGAGAATGCGAGGGGTCGCGTGGCACAGTCTACAAAGTTAGAGACAGAAACCTAAACTTCCGACCTCGTGGCGTAGAGATAACGAGAGTGAAAGACACAGTCACGGTCTATCGAAGCTCAAGATGAAGAAATCTGACGAGGCTGCGAGACATTGTGCATGTGATTCAAGGTCAAAAGTCCAGGCTTAAGCTCAGCTCGAGCTTACCTTGTTGCTCTGACGTGCCTGCTTGTGGTTAGCTGTTAGCGCAGGTGACATCAGGCGGATGCGTCGGAGGGCGGAGGTCCTATGACGCCTAAAAACGGTGCACGGTGGTTTACAGATGCCGATCAGATTTGACCAATGAGAAGCTTCGAATATGAGATCACTTGGCATAAAGTTGTTGGATCTGCGTTTATAGAAGCTATCGCGGGAGAGATAAGACACTTTGACAGGTCATACACAGACTTCAGCTGATCAGGGCCTTCTGCCCTCGAGTCTTTAAAGTTTGAGTCGATTTTCAGGGTCTTGACACTGTGAAATGGTCCCTTGCAGCGAAAATCTTTTCTTTTCGTTCTCAAAGTCGAATGTTGGAACAGGAAGGCGGTGAAGATCAGCCCACCTCTAGCTCTTCAGTGCATTCTGCCAAAGCCGTCGCAAAGCCGCATGGGGCATCACAGTAGCTCCCGTCTTCGGCGTCATCTGTAGGCAAATTTAACCAGCCTCAACGGTTTCTTTTCTTTTCACATGCCATGCCGAATTCCTGGTACCATGTCTAGAAGGTCCCTCTTACGAGGCCTGACTCTCTTGAGGCCCAATAGTAATCAACTACCAACATGTCGCTTTCTAACTCGGCCATCCACATTCACCCTGGCACCACGAACATGCCGTCTTCTATCCACAACCTCGACCCATCAAACGTCCGAGATTCGCAGCATCGCAGAACTCCCGAATAGAATAAGCCCACGATATCTCCAGAGCACAAAGCCCGGGTCATCGCTGTTATCGCTAAACTGGCCCAAACCCCCTCGAAATCTCCTTATCATCCACAAGCTATACTCAGATGCCGTCGTCGAGGCTGTCGTCAAATTCTCGACCTACCTCCATAATGAATATCCAGAAGTCAACCTCGTGTTTGAACCACGAATCGCCCAATCGCTAAAAGGCCGTCTCGATTTTCCTATTTATGCGTCGGACTCTCGATCCAATATGGCAGACAAGATCGACATCATCGCGACTTTCGGAGGAGACGGCACTGTCCTACGAGCTGCAAGTCTCTACAAGCTCCATGGTTCTGTTCCTCCAATTCTGTCGTTCAACATGGGGACATTAGGCTTCCTTGGCGAATGGGATTTCAGAGAGTACAAAAAGGCTTGGAGGGAGACGTTTATGAGTGGTAGTGACGTCGCTACCCGTGAGGCCAACTATCCTCGAGGTGATTGGGACAAGATAAGTCCAGTGTCATACACAGCATGGGAAAGGCATAAGGGTAAAAGCATGGGAGCCCAACGAGCATCCAAGGTGCTACTCCGTCACCGCATCAAGGCTGATGTGTTTGATCCGTCTGGTAATAACATCAATCATTGGTTGTCTGATACTTTGTCAAGCGAGGCAAAGACGGGGGCGAAGGCGCTAGCGGTACCTCATGAGCCATCACCATCGCTGAGAGCTATCAACGAGATCTCGGTGCATCGGGGATCTCATCCCCATCTAGCTATCATTGATATCTACCAGAATGGCCACTTTCTTACAGAGACCACTGCTGATGGTATCCTAATCAGCACCCCCACAGGCTCAACGGCATACAGTCTAAGTGCAGGGGGTCCAATTGTTCATCCACTTGTCAAATCCCTCCTCATCACGCCCATCAGTCCTTGCAGTCTCAGTTTCCGATCCTTGGTGCTCCCGCTAGACACCAAAGTCACATTACGAATGAGTCGCAAGAACCGCGGCCGTGAACTTGACCTCAGCATTGACGGCAAGAGGTGTGCGGGAGTGTCCCCAGGGACAGAGATTCGGGTAGAAGGCGAATTTGTTGGACGAGCCGGTCCCGGGGAGGAGTGGCATGGCGGTGTACCATGTATGATCAGGACTGAGGATGATGATCCTTGGGTAGGTGGCTTGACTGGCCTACTCAAGTTCAATCATCCTTTTGGACGAGAACCTGGTGGGGACGAGTATGCCGATTAGGCAGTTGATGAGATATGCCTACATATGGATGCACATATTGGTGATTATTTGATACCCATACGTTTGGAGAATAATGAAGTCATGAGGAGAGCTAGCACTCTTAATGCGATAAGAAATCGAAATCACAAATGCTTCTACAAAGCAACATTAAGGCTACCAATAAGCTTATAGACAACTTTAAACGAACACTAAAGTACCTAAGGTCACCGACTTGTTGTTACTCCATGCTCAGTGTTTCGTAGCACATATGCATTTCGGGCTCTCTGTTCTTGAGTTGCCTGGGCTGACCTTTCAACACGAGATACAGAATAACATGATGACAGGCTTAGGGCTGAAAATCGCAGCCAATTGCAGTAGGATGGCGCGCAGCAGTAAGCGGCGTATCCTACAAAACTCCGGATCGGCCGAGTAATGAAGCCATGGGCGGTCCGCGGACGTGGATTACAGCCACTCAGCGTGAGCAACTACCCTTTTCAGAGGCAACGGTGATCCAAGATGGATTCACTGCGCGCTGACAGATGGCAGTGCATAAACCAAAGCAGAAGATCTTTGTCGATGGTCCACAACAGCTGACAAGTGGCTCAGATACGTGGCAGAACAAGCGAAGACTCGTTCAAAACAATACGAGTATCTAAGCGCTCTTGTGATCATATTCCATGTGAAGAAGCATCAGAAAAGAAGCCGCCAAGCCGTCTTGGCTCTCGAGATTAGCAACGGCGGTTTGAGCTGGGCGGGTTCCCTTTAATTTCGCCGCCAGGGGTTTTTTCCTCAAACATTCCGAGTCCTTGTGGATCGGGATATTTTGATGACCCATGATCAGCCGACTCCAGTTGTTTGATGTTCCATTGTAATGTCACTTGGGGGTCTCTTGTTCTGCGGATCTCAATACCCAGCCTTTGGTGATCTTGCTATCACAATAGGAGACTGAGGTGAGGTCATTGTTTGACTCGGCGCGCGGTTGGACTTGTTGAAGTCATGCAGCGGGTGTTCCTGGAACGGTTACAAGGCTTGTTAGTGGCTGGGTCGTACAGGGGATGTTAGCGGGTGGTGGGCAGTAACTTAGACAGAGAGGTCATTCATGTCACATGTATTGAACTCGATACAAGGGCAACGGGAATTATCATACGCGAGTTGACCTTGATGATCAGTGAAACATGAATATTCAAACAATTATTATCACTGATGCTCACAATGGATTGTGGCGAACAATCCTTCCTCCGTTCCGCGGAGCATCCAACTCTAAAATAGAAACAAAATAGTTACAGTGCAGTATCACACATCCTGTGTCATTGCATCAGACCGATACAGCGACGGCTCAGAGAGGCGGCGCAGGGCTGGGCGGATTCTTGGCAATGAGGCAGAGGCAGAGAAAGAGGGAGAAGAAGAAGGGCAACGCCTGTAAGAAAATGGTGGCTCTTGGCTAATTGATGACAGAGACACAAAGAGAGAGAGAGAGAGACAAGCTTAACTATTACTCTTAAATATACAATACGAACCTTGTTCCCTTTTCTCTTACTCTATTTCAATCAATACCTTGCCTTGCCTTGCTTGCCCTGGCTGATGAACGCAAAAAGCACGGATCAGAAACCGTTGACGATACGGAACCGATACTGACTGCCAATTAAACTGACCACCCCACACTGAATCCTTTCCTTTCCTTTTCTCTACATACCCTTTCTTATTATACCCATCACAACCTCGACCTCGTGTTTCTTGGTTTTTTCTTTATTCCCTTGTTTTCTCTTCATTTCTTCTTTTTCACGGCCAGTTTCTTCTTATTTGCATATTGACTCTTTTGGCATTTACCTATTCATCTTGGACCACCCTTTCTTCGATCCGATCACCAATTCATCGATACACTACAGCAACAACTCGAATTGTTCGCTTCCATTCCTTCCGGAGCTGCGAATAGCTTCCGTCTTTCTTATCGCTCCTTTATCCGCCTGAGGCCGCTGTCATGGCCATTTCTTCGGGCCTCGCCCTTTTGCTGGCTGCCAGCGCCGCATTGAATCCCGTCGCTGCTGCACCTTCGAGTAAGTCGACACTCTTTCGCGACCGCGCATGTCGTTGAGCGCATGGAACCTGGTGTGGCGCGGTCGCATGCATTTTCTTACCCATCCCAGATCTTGGGGTCGCGGATCGGAGCTAACGTGATCCAATCGCAGTCGACGACGCTTTCGTCGCCACCTCCAATTCAGATTTCTCTCCCCGATCAGTATCAAAACGAGGCACGCCTCAAGCCCCCGATGGCTACGTACCCTCCAAAGTCGATTGCCCGAGTACACGACCGACGATCCGAAATGGCTCTTCCATCTCGAGCATGGAGCGCGACTGGATCCCCAAGCGTCGCAACGAAACCATCTCCCCTATTCGAACCCTCTTGAAGCGTCTAGCGATTCCCGAGTTCGACAGCGAGGAGTATCTCAAGGATGCTGAGACAGATGCTACTGCGCTTCCTAATATCGGTATTGCTATCTCTGGAGGTGGCTACCGTGCTATGCTTTGCGGTGCTGGTGCGCTGGCAGCTTGGGATATTCGTTCTGATGGAAGCGACAAGGATGGAAATCTTGGTGGTCTTCTACAAAGTGCGACATATCTTTCTGGTCTCTCCGGTGGTGGATGGCTTGTGGGCAGTTTGATGATGAACAACTTTACTTCTGTCCAGGAAAGCGTGAACTATCCTGGAGTCTGGCAGTTGGAGAATTCGATCCTCGAGGGCCCTGAGAACTACTCTCTTCTCCAGTACTACAATACGATTTTCGATGCCGTCTCCGATAAGAAGGATGCTGGTTATGAACGATCTCTTACGGATTACTGGGGCCGCATGCTGTCGTACCAACTTATTAATGCTACGGATGGTGGTCCTGCATATACATGGTCTTCCCTTGCAGATGATCCTGACTTCTCTGAGGGCAAGGCTCCTATGCCCATCATTATTGCGGATGGTCGCGCGCCAAACGAGACCATTATCAGTCTCAACGCGACCAACTTCGAATTCACACCCTGGGAGCTCGGTTCTTACGATCCCGTTCTCCAGGGCTTCGTTCCTCTCAAGTATGTCGGTTCCGAGTTCGACAACGGCAAGCTGCCCAAGGACAAGTCGTGTATTGCCGGTTTTGACAACGCCGGTTTCGTCATGGGAACTTCTAGCAGTCTCTTCAACCAGATCGTTCTGTACCTCAATGAAGACAACAACAACTACGTTCCTGACGGTGTTCCGGATATCGCCGTCGAGGCGGTAACTTCTGTTCTCAAAGCTATTGGCTCTGACAACAACGATATTGCTGACTGGACTCCTAACCCCTTTAAGGGCTGGAACGATGAGCATAACCTGAGCGCCGACTCCGAGCGACTCACCCTCGTCGATGGTGGTGAAGATCTCCAGAACATCCCTTATTATCCTCACATCCGAAAAGATCGTGAGGTCGATGTCGTCTTCTCCTTCGACTCTTCGGCCGACACCGACTACGGCTGGCCCAATGGCGCATCTCCCATCGCCACCTACGAGCGCTCTCTCACCAACATCTCAGAGGGCTCATCATTTCCCTCTGTCCCCGGCAAGAACACATTCCTCAACCTGGGCCTCAACACCCGCCCAACCTTCTTCGGCTGCAACGCAACCAACATGACCGACCCCTCACCCCTCATCGTCTACATCCCCAACTACCCCTACGTCTACTCCTCCAACATCTCCACCTTCCAAATGAGCATCAACACCTCCGAGCTCTCCGCCATCATCGAGAACGGCTACGCTGTGGCCACTATGCTTAACGGCACGCGCGACAAGGACTGGCCCGTCTGCGTTGGCTGCGCAATGCTGTCTCGCAGCTTCGACCGCACAAACACCACTGTTCCTGATAAGTGTCAGGAATGCTTCACGAATTACTGCTGGAATGGAACTCTTGATGAGAGAGAGCCCAGCGAGTATAACCCTACTTTCATCGGCGAGCAGATCGAGGTGGAGAGCTCAGCGTCAAAGGCCAGCAGCGCCTTTATCGCCATTGCAGCTATTGCGGGATTTATGCTCGCCATTTAAAATGAATGAAAAGTTGAGGAAGATTATATATATTTCTGCTTTTAGGGGTTATGCATCGGAGTTTTGTTCTATCTGAAGCGCCGTGATCTTGAAGACATGGATTCATGAGGAAGTTTATAGGGGTTGGATAGATGATGAGTTGGAGACTCGTCTTATTATTTACCGAAATTCTCCATATTGATACGATCTGGTGAAGTTTATTGTGACTTTGAGCATTCGGTATGCGGCCTACCAGGCTTGCAGTTTGTATATACGATGACCTTCTCGGATGGACCTTGCTCTTGTACTGAAGCTCAGCGAGGGTCATCAGCAAAGTCACTTCATATTGACTACCTACGCACGAGGTACGTGTTTGTTATTGCTTCCTCGGGCAATCTTAGCTAGGCGATAACTGTTGATCGCGTCTCAGGTTTTCCGGGCAGGTAGATTCTCACGACAACTTCTCACGTCATGACACATACTCAAAGACACCGGCTCTTCCAATCCGTAACTTTTCTTCATTAAATCATTATATATCCCTAACTTCTCTAAGCAAAAGTGACATCCTTGCCATTCTTGGCACTCTCAAAAACACCCTCAATAATCTGCAAAACATCCCTCGCCTCAGACGCCTTCACAGGAACATCCTCCTCCTTCCCACTCTCAACAGCCTTTCCAAGCTGAGCATAGAAAGCCTTGTAGGTGGGTGTCTCAATGGACGAAATAGCCTGCTCCTTGGCCTTCTCGTTATCATCAACGACGACCAACTTATACCGAGCTGGGTCCTCCTTTCCAAAGTCCGCATCAGTAGCCTTCGCACCAGCCTTGAGCGCATCTTCTTGTGTGTCGAGACCGAGCTTGCGGAAACTTCCCTTTGTGCCGCGGACCCAGAAGCGGGGCTGCTCGAGCTCGGCGCTGAGAACGCTGATGCGGATGTTTACGAGGAGACCGTCGGGGTAGGTCAACTCTGCGGAGACACCGTCTGGATTCTCAAAGTCGAACTTTCCTTCGCGTTGAGAAAGGAGACGGCCGTGGACGGACTGGGGTTTGCCGAAGAGAACGTAGGCTTGGTCGATGAGATGAGTTCCCAGGTCGTAGAGAGCGCTGCCGCCTTGAGAAAGGGGGAGGTCCAACTTCCAGTTCTTAGAGGGCACAAGACGATAACGGTCAAAGTGGTTATCGAACTGAACGATACGGCCAAGTGTACCCTCCGAGATGATCTTCTTAAGGGTAACAAAGTCAGCATCCCACCGTCTGTTCTGGTAAACAATAAGGAGCTTTCCATTCTTCTTGGCAATCTCAATAAGCTTATCAGCCTCGGCAGAAGTAGGAACAAAAGGCTTCTCAGTCAAGACATGCTTTCCAGCCTCGAGGGCAGCTTTTGTGAGCTCAAAGTGGTTGTTGGGGGGAGTGCTGATGACTACAAGGTCGACTGCAGAGTCGGCGAAGAGATCCTTGTAGTCTGTGTAGTGCTTGATATCGGGGTAGTCAGCGGGAGCTGAGTTACCCTCCTTGGGAGAGCGTTGAACGATGGCGTGGAGTTTGAACTGGGGAGTTTGAGTGAGGAAGGGGATGTGGAAGATTTTGGCGGACATGCTGTTATTGTCAGCTGATGATATCACGAAGAGGGAGATGGAACTTACCCATAGCCCACGACACCAACGTTGAATGTCTTTCCGCTCATATTGACTGTATTTTCCTTGATGGTATATGTCTGCTCTGAAGGATATTTTAACAAGGGATGCTCTCGACTTTTATAAGTTATGAGATCAAGTTCTCGCCATTTCTCCAAGAGCCTCCACAGGATGGAATTCCGTCATGGGTGCGGAGTCGTTCCCCACGGCTGCTTCGCCCTTCTTGGAGACTCCGGACTCAGTGAGCGCCACGATTGGTGTGATACAGTGGATTTGGCCGAGAAAGTCGGAGATGTAGTGAAGGTCCAAGCGAGAAAGTGTGGTTTTCTTAGTCATTTGCTCAACCCTTTATATTCTTTAGCAGCTATTCACAAGATGAGGATATTTGTAATCTGAAATGGCGTTATATGAATCTACTTTTGTTTGTAGAGATTTCGTGATATTGCGGAGTGTCCGTTTTGGGTGGTCTTTGATATGAGCTGATGTACACTGGTCGGTCCGAGCACGGTCTTTCGGCATCTTATCATGATAAGAATCGGATAGTGATAAAGCGGTTGAGACGCCGAAGATTACGGGTCCGTCTCTCATGATATGGCTCCGTGCCGGACTCGACATTTTTGCGTCTCGCGTGCCGATGTGGATCCCCGGACAACGCCTCAAAGTCCGGCCAACAACCGAAACGCGAAGTCCAAAAACACCAAATTATAAAAAGTCACGATAAATCAAATAGAGTAGATAGAATAGCAATTCATCAAGCAATTCGATAATAATGGCATTTAACAAAGTCTCGCAATTTACCATCTTTCGTGGCCCTGGAAAACCAACCGCCTTTCCATGGTCCCCCTTCGTCATCAAACTCGAAGCTCGTCTTCGTTTCGCCAGCGTGTCCTACAGGGTAGCCGAAGGATCACCGAAAACTGCACCACGAGGAAAGATCCCATACATTGAAGCTGAAGGCGAGACTCTTAGCGACTCGACGTATATTATCAAACGATTTATCGACAATGGTCTCATTCCTGATCTTAACGCAAGCTTGACCCCTGTTCAGAAAGCACAAGATCTTGCGTTTAGAGCTCTTTTGGAAGAAAAGGTTTACTTTTACGGCACTCGCGAGAAATGGTGTGATAATTATTACATCATGCGTTCCAACATCTTTGCTTCTATGCCGTGGCTTCTACAGGTCGTTATAGGATATTTAGCTGCTCGTGCAAATGCAAGAACTGCGTATGGACAAGGAACGGGCCGTTTGACAGATGAAGAAGTCAACGAGTTAAGAGAGGAAGTTTGGCAGAGTGTTGAAGCTTTACTTGCTGAGGCGAGGATGAGGAACAAGGGCGATGGACCGTTCTGGGCTCTTGGTGGTGATGAGCCTACGGAAGTTGATGCGACGATATTTGGCTTTATTGCTTCGTCGTTGATCTGTGAAGCGTGAGTTTACTTTGCTGATGAGTTGGGGTTATGCTAATGGCGCATTTAGAGCGCCGACTTCCGCGGCTATTATGAGGAAGCATTCGAGTTTGATGGAGTACGCGGGGAGGATTCATGAGAGGTATTTTCCTGATTATGAACGATGGGAGTAGAATGGGCTGTTGGCACTTGTGAGAGGCGCAAAGCTGGAAGTATAGAACCTAGATCTCTTGGTGTACAGCATTAGCAAGCAAGACAGTCGAATACCATAGATAGATCTCAACCAGACTCATCCCCAAGAATCAGGGTACATGCCAACAATTCCCATCATGAGTTCCTGCATGAAATCTCCAATACTTGTAAATCATCTACAAGACCGTCAGCCAAGTTTACTCCAATCCAACCTTGCGTCACAGCATGTTTCATCCCCCATATTCTCTATCAAAGGCTCGACGTCAGATTATCTTTTTCCATGAAACTGAAGTTCAAATGACGTTGTCCAAGTTTTTGAGCTCTTTTTCCCCTTCCTCCCCCGCCAAGATGCAGGGGTTTGAGGGTGATTGGTGGTAAATACCCTCTGGCGAATCAGGCAAGACGGGAACTCCCCGTGCATTGTTGGTGATGATATTCTCAGGAACAAAGTCAACTTCAACGTGGGAGACAACTTCATATGCTTCAATTGATCTTCAGCCTCGGTACATACAGACTAGAAATCCTATGAAACTCCAACTTATAGCTCAGCCTTCTCCTTACATTTATTAACGGAGATTCGCCGTGTCTCAAGACATTCACCAACCAAGGCAGATCTACCAACCAACACGACACCAGGCATGCAAACCCGAGCTGAGATGGTTGCATACAGCTACCCATTAGCTATTTTAATCGCTGCAGAATGAAAAACCTCGCTCTGCCCCTGGAAACTACGCCGCAAAACGGCTTCAGTGAGGGTGTGGTGTCGGTCGTCACCGTCGACTCATGGTGCCGGAGGGGGGCATATAGGTGACGATGCATAAGTGCATAATGAAGATTGATGAGATCTCTTGTGCTACACAAGTTATCCACGCCTCATCAGCTCAGCTTATGTTTACGGTGTGTTTTAATCAGATCTTGAATCAATCTCATGATTTTTAATGGGAAATGCTACCGCGACGGTTCGTCTTTCATGCATGTTTGCCAAGTCGGCAGCGGCGGATATTGTCCACTTATTGTGATCAGACCATTTCGATTCCCTTCCCTTCCCGCGTAAGAAAGATCCCGCTAACAACGACTTCTCCAGACTCCAGATTCTACTCAGCTCCCAACAGCACCTCACTCCTCCATAATAATACCGCGTAAATCATTACTGTTCTGTAGAGTGCTAGAAACTCGGACACTTCCGTTGCCTCGCATGTGAGCCTCGGCGTGGCGGTCCAAAAGAGCGGTTAATTCGAGCGCATTTGTCCAGTGTAGGAAGGCAGTTGGTCAAGATCCCTGCAAGCCTGACAGGGTCCCCTTTTATTCCCGGCTACAGGGGGTGTTTAGTGACTGTGGGTGTATTTTGGTGGGTGTGTAGTAGAGTGTGAGATGCGGGGGAGTTTTGGGACACCGTGCACTGGGGGTTGAGTTTTGATGAGTAAGAGAGAGCAAGAGAGAGAAATCAGGCATTGACTTGAAGAGCTGGTCAAAGGACAAAGGAAGAGGAACTAGCGGTCAATTTCTATCTTAGCATGCTAAACTGTAGAATTAAAGATAGTGCTATAGAGCTAAGGTATAGTGGTCAATTGACCAACTCACCTCTGGCACAACTGTCAACCCATTAGCATCTCTTGTTCCTGCATCGTTGGCGTCCCCGTCTTGCAATGCAATGCACTGAATGGGTTGGTTGCCTCATCATCAAACCTGTTTTCTTTGCCTCTCTTTTCCCTATTCCCATTTTAGTTCCTCTCCCTTCCTCTCTTCCTTTCGGCTTTGCCGCTCAAGTCGGGCCTAGTTCCCAAACTCCCCCATCAATCGGCCCTCGGATTAGTAGTGACCCTTGTACTCCAGCATGTGACTTGGCCAAGTTCAAGTCCTCCCCGTTGAAGGATTCTCCTGATGGCGTCAACTTACTGCTGCAGTCTCTTCTCCAATTGAAGCTTTGTTTTACCCCGGAGATCGTAATAATAAATCTCAAGAGAACAAAAAAAAGGGGAGCATTGTCCAATATCCGGGGGTGGATCGCAAATCTCCAGCTTTTTTCTGCTGCTGGTTTGATGAACTAGACAGTTCGTGCCATGTTCATGTTCCTTTTTCAAGGTCAATCTCCGAAAAGTTCATCTTGAAAGTCACAGAAGAACCGAGAACTTCACATGCCCTAGCGCTAGACCCGTCTCCGCATCTCGCCCCCGGACTTTGGCATCACCCCCTCGTCGATCTACTCGGCCGTGTGTATCGAATCCGGAAGCCCGCCCCGCCCTCACAACGGCATAACACGCCCTCTGACTGTCAGTTACCACAGCAAGAATAGCAACTAGCACCCCCTGGTAGGAGTTCCCTGTCCTTCTTTCAACCTCCCATTCGTCCAACTCCCCCAGCTTCCGGCTCGTCGCAGCGTATCCCGACCCCCCTTCCACAGTCCACTCACACTTAGACTCCAGAAAAGGAACGAGGATCAGAATCAAGAACAAGAAGTTGACCTGCAAGTCTGCAGCAAGAAGAGGCTGGTCTTCCCTGTAATGGTTAACGGGCAACGGCACCCTCACGCTCTAACCAAGTCGAGCTGAACTTGTTGATTCCTTCACATACATAAAGCCCTTTCTCGTCCATCTCTCAAGCTTTCCCTTCTTTCTTTTCCTCCTCATCCACTCGCTTCCATTGGACCAATTCAGCATCAGCTTCAGCCTTGCCTCTCTACACTCGTTGTGTCTTCCTCGCATAATCAACAAGTTTTATCAACTTTAGAAAAAGACAACCAACCTTCAAGATGAAGTACTCTTTCGCCATTGCTGCCCTCGCCACCGCCGTCTCGGCTCAGACTCTCGCCGACGTCCCCAAGTGCGCTATTCCTTGCCTTGACGACGCCATCACCAGCAAGACCGACTGCAAGACCACTGATCTCACCTGTGTCTGCAAGAGCTTCGACGATGTCCGAAGCGCCGCTACCTCTTGTGTGATCACCAAGTGTGGTTCCGACGTTGCCATCAGTAAGTTCCCTACTCACAAATACATATGACAAGACATTCATGTGCTGACTCACCTCAGACGAGGTTCTCCCTGCTACTGAGAAGCTCTGCTCTGGCGGCTCCGGCTCCGGTTCCGCCGAGGAGTCCTCCAAGGCCGACACCACCAAGGTCGAGACCTCCACCAAGGTTGTCGTCACCACCAGCGCCGTCGAGACCACTGCTGTTGAGACCACCGCCGTCGAGACTACCTCTGTCCCTCCCGTCGTTGAGAGCAAGACCACCGCTGTTCCCCCCGTCATCGAGACTCCCACCACCAAGTCCGAGGCTGCCGGCGGTGCCACCAGCACTCCCGCTCCCTCAGGTGTCGGCGAGAACAGCGCTGCTGGCCTCAAGGGTCTCGGCGCCATGGCCATGGCTGCCCTCATGGCTCTTGCTCTGTAAACAGAGTCAATTATGACCGCCAATTCCTCACCGTGAAAAAGAAACTACTCAGTTTTTTGCACGTTGAGGTGACAGGCATTGTTACGAGCTGAAAGGAAAGTAACGAGGAGGAATGGAATATGTGTACATGGGAATTGGAATTGGATTTGTGATTGGAATCACGGGTTAATAATTAATGGTCTTGAACCACCAGAATATAGCAAATATACCAGTGACACTTGTCTCATTTCTCTGCCCTCAATTGATCGTGAATTTGCAAACCGTGAATCGAAAGCCATGAATCAACAAACTGAGACAGTCAGAATCATACCACCAAAATGGTGATCAAAATCCTCATCATCCGAGTAAACACTCACCTTCTAGAAGTAGACCTAGCAAAACATGACTAGTCATCTCCCAGTAAAAAAGTGGTCGACGTCTGTCGCCGTTTCTGGCACAATCGGCGCCCGAAAACCTTACGCGGCCTCATGCGGGGAGTGCAGCGAGCGATGTCACGCCGTAAATAGACAAGACCAACCAATTCATTCATTATGTGGCTGATGATATAGTTTCGATCGAGATCCAATGGAAATCATTTCTATTATGCATAAGATCGTGGCAAACTTGTCTAGTCTTTTGAGGGTCAGCTTCGTGATGCTCAGTTATGGGCCAATGCTCACTGTACACGTCTATTATTGTTTGTCAAAGGGTCCTTGAACAAAGGAACTGGGCCTCGTATTCTTGACCCAAGTTTGTTTCACGTCGTTTCACTTCTTGGCTGCTTCGATCTCTTCGACCCAACCGCAGACTCGCCTTGCAACTTCTAAGCTCGCATCTGAACTCGTTAGCAACCGCCACAAACGTCTCGATGACCAACTTACCCTCTCTCGTGCAAAAGGCATGAGGAATATCCCCTTCATCCTGCACAATCCTCGCTTTATCTCCTCTCTTTTCCACGATGCCGTCCCTCTCGTCATCATGAATCCAGTGATCTTTCTTGGCATAGAACAAAAAGAACTTTGGTACTCCATTCTCCTCTCCTGTCGTCTCCCATAGGTCGTCGTTCCACTTCTCTTCAGTTATCATCCCCAGCTCCGTCAATCCCAGATGAACTGCCTGCAACACGTCATCTCTACTCTTCAACCATCGCGCAGTGACGTCTGCACTCGCAGGTGTAAAGCCCAGAAGGCGCTGAACGATCCATGTCACGCTTGCGACACTGAACAGGCCGAGAAGAAGACGTGCGAGTAAACAAGCTGCAGTGTCGAGGAAGGGAATGAATCGACGCAGTAACTCGAACTGTACACCATTGGATGACCGAGCGAGATGCGTAAGCGTCGGACATATCAGAAATCCATGTCGAAGCTTCAAATGCGGCGCTCGCTCCGGATTCTTCATATGGCGATGAAAGATCTCAACAGTGATGAAAGACCCAACAGAATGGCCCATGAGAATCACAAAGTCGTACCCTTTTCCTTTGACCGCAACGATATCGTACATGCCCTCGATCTGTCCCTCCAAATCCCAAGGTTTATTCTTTGAAGTAAACGGCTCATGGTCGTCGTCGCTGAAGCCAAGCAAGTTTGTGCCGTAGATATCATAAGCAGTGTCTGTCTCGATCTTGTCTAAAAGGCCGCGCACATGGCTGAGGAAGTCGGTGTAGTACTCGATGAGGCCCGGATTACCACAGATGTAGTGAATGAGGGCTTTCTGTTGAGCCCCTCCAGAGCGTTCTGAGGGCAGCCATATTTGAGGTGCCATTGTATATTGCTGAGTTATGGTGAGGGTTGAAGTGAAGCTGTGGCATTAGAGATAAGGGATGACCTAGATGACGAAATCCTTGGCGGAGTTTTCAACCAACCCGAGCTACCCGGTAGCAAGATAACGAGTCCGAACATGAATACTTATCCAAAGCGTTGGATCGATTGGTGTTCAATTCCTCGTGTATTTGCATCTTGATATGGCTTTAAGTTTAAGTAACTGGCTTAAGTCCATGTTTACCGTGGCATTGCACCAGATCTCACTCACACACCCTTCAGACCATTAAGCATATTCGACAGTCATATTCGTTACGGCACTCAGGTTACTCAATCATTAAACAGTAGGCCAAGCCAAACCAAACCAATGCACCAAATCAGTCCCAAACTCCACCCATGGCTAGCACCATGCCTTGAAACCATACTCAGGAGCCACTCTAGAATGCTTCAACCAAATCTTGCAGGTTCCGGTCATGCTCGTGTACTATCTATCCTCCTCAGACTTTATGAGTCTTGCGAACCTCTACAAGTCCAACATTCTTCTTGGTGACTGCTGCCCAGGTCGGCATATACTTCAGAAGCTCGTCAAGAGCAGGGATCGTTCCAGGCGTGTTGGCATCACTGTAAGCGCAACTGACAGTGACTTCGAGACGATCTGCTGTTTGTTCCGCTGACCGCACCCTTAATTCGTGGTCTTCCTGTGACTCAATTTCTTTCTGACCCGAGTCCTCTGATGCAGAAAGAGCATTTCGCTCATTCAGATATAAGTTCAATGTCCAGGGCCGATCTCGATCGCGGCGCCACAGCTGGACGCTGCTGAAACCCTCTGAGGGGAACTTTCCGAAGCGAGGATCTCTTGGGCTTGCACCATCCACGGCGAATCCATAGATAGGTCGCGATGTGCGAACATAGCAAAGCCTTGAATCAATGGCATCAATTCGAAGCCGTGCTTTGCTTCCATCGCTGCCATATATCGTCTCAACTGAGATTAAATCATCAGGAGTCTTATTCCTATACAGTCTGGGGGCCAACGAGGAGGCATCGTATTGGCAATCTGCTAGATCTCGTCCAACAGCTGGCTGACACTTGATCTCCTGACCCAAGGTGCTCGGTAGGGTGCTGATGACGGATCGCGCATAATCCTCGAGTCCTACGATGGACACTGTGTTGGTACCATTATCTAGGTCGATGACTTCTTGGAAGTAAAACTTGAAACGGTTGCTATCGGAGAATGGGAATGCGACCAGGTTGTAGATAAAGGTGCCGGCGAAAACACACAAGAGGAACAACGGAATATGGTGAGTCACACGGTGGATGAAAGGCGTGAGTGGGAGCAACAAGAAAATGCTCAATATGCCCAATGACAAGACGGGAACAAGGAGGCTACCCCCGTCGGTACCAGTCATCTGGGTAGCAGACATGACAACCAGGCCAATGTTTCCAAACAGGATCACGGGTACCGGAGCCAGAAAGAGGAACTGGAGAATCCAAGTCCACGTAGGAAGGCGTCCAGACCAACTCTGCTCATGATCGAAAGGCTGGTATCGTCGCATACTAGGCGGAGAGGGCGAGTTCTCAGCAACCGAACGGCGATATGTGTTGGCAAACGAGGTCGGGGCGTTGGACCCGTATCCTGATTCACCGGATCTAAGCGGCGTAGTCTCGGTAGCATCCTCAGATCCGTCCTCGTCATCATCCGCCTCAGCGTGAGCAGATCCACTCTCTGTCTGAGGTCTCGATTCATGCTCATTATCACGGCTAGAAACATCTCGTGCCTGATGGGCGTCGTGTAGTTGCATGGCAAAGTCGTGTTTCCCGAGCAATGCGAACTGCTCCAAAAGAGAAATGAACAGGGCGAGGAAAATGGCCGATTGGAAGAAAACGGTTGCATAAAGGGCACCAATATGCATACGATCCTCTGCCACAGCACACACAACTTGTACACCCCAGCCAAGCGCAAAGAGCCACATCAAAACGAAGCCTCGATGAAGTGCACTGGGTCGAACAAAACTGGCTCCACGCATGATGAGCCAAAACGAGAAGTAAAAGATGGAGAGAGTCATAGACCACCTGAAGGATATTAGTTTCTGATATATCAACAGAGAAAGAGCCACTTACACAGCGTATCCGCTGCTGTAAATAATCAGCGGATTGAACTTAGCAATCAGAAGAGTCGATGCGATAGTTAGTGCTCCAGCAAAAGCGAGGGCAAATGGAAAGCGGAAGAACCCCTTCCAACCGCCCAACACAACTGGGTCATCGTTAATGTCGTGATGCATCTTGATGTCTCTAGAAAAGTAGTAGTATTTATCCTTGCGAGCCAGGATGTAGGTGAAGGCAATGAGGATCAGTGGCGTGGCGACGAGAAGTGTTAGAGACCATGCAAAGAGTCCTCTAAGCGCGAACACGGCCCACGCAGCACCAAAGATATCGAACCAGACACCCTCAGCTTGCTTGCCATTCTGGGCAAGATCAGAGTTGCCATCGGACCGTTCGCCGTTAAAGATGGTACCAGTTGTCTTCGACAGGTGCTCAGTCGACGCGAGAGCAGCTGAGAGCATGTGCCAAATGCTGTCAACAGACGTGTGCCGTGTATCGTCCTGGTTGGTATGGTACCGAGCGCGAGGCTCATAGAAAGCAATGTCAAGTCCTCTTTGTCCATAGGCATCTGCAAAGATCTCGTAATCGGTTGCGCTCTTGATCACACCTCTCTCGAAAGCATTAGCAGCAACAACGGACCCCAGCGGATGAGGGCTCTTGGAGTAGGCCTTTGCAGCCTGCAAGTCAGTGGTACGGAAAAGCAGCGCGCGGCCTCCAGCTCCTGCGCCTTCGAGGTTGACGAATGTGTGAATGAACAGCAACAAAGGACTGTAGCCAAAGGCTCTAGCGCCAAGAAGTCCATCCTCTTCGGCGTTGTTGAAGAGGAGAACGATGCCATTCTTGGGTTGGCGTCCTTTGAGTGTAAAGTAGCTCAAGAGCTGGAGCATCGACACGCAGGACATACCATCGTCGGTGGCACCAAATCCAGTGGAAACGCTGGAACACCGTCAGTTGAGGACCATCGACTTTTCGTTTTTACCTACGAATCAAAGTGGCAATTGACAAGAACACCGCCCTCGCCACGGAACTTCTTGTACTTGGATTCATCACGCCACCATTCACCCTCGGGGTCGTTTTTGCCGTGGATGTAGACATAGTAGTTGTTGCCCTCAAAGTACTGTCCCAACCACGTTCCCTTGGAAATGTTAGAGCCCATGCGCCGAGCAGTGTTGTAAGTCCAGGAAACGTTGGAAGTTCTGTCATCGAAGAGCGTTGCTCCACGAGGCTTATCCTGAGCTGATACAAGCGAATCTTGGTTCTCCATAGAAGATGTTCTACTCTTGTTAACTATGTGCGTAAGAGATCGGAACAGAAACTGACCTCGAGTGCCAAACTACACCACCAATCGTTTCGGCGGTATATGACATATCATTGCGATCAAGGATCTCCTTGGTGCGTTTAATGATGAATTCGCGTACTCGGTCATTTTCGTGACTGTTGTAGGGATGATAGGCGCGAGTAATGGTTTGTAGATCGAGCCATGCCTCGGTCAAATTGAGACCCTGATACAGCGACCGATCAGCCGGAGCTGAAGGGACAGTTTCGTGAACCCAGATGAGAGGAATGAAAAGAGCGAGATATATAACGGTCGTCCAGAACGACACAGGCCCTGGCCGGAAGGCAAGAGGGTTCTTAGCCCTCATGATGAGATGATGATGATTTGGTTTGAATTGGAGCTGAGGTAATCCTAGGTGACGCGCCTACGTCAGTGCGTCGCGGAATGGAAAATGTCTAGGTAAAAAGTATATGACGATTAAAGTTGTAGGATCATGGTCAGGTCTCGAATCAGCGCGTAGTAGTGCAGAGGCTGAGAATCACGAAAGAAAAGAGCCAAGAAGATGGAAGATAAGACAAGACAAGGCAGTTGAGGGAGAGAGTACGAGACAGAATGGAAGAGTCAGATGACCCTCGTCATGAAAATGAAACAAGAAGGCACTGCACCAGACACCTCAAGAACGCGACTTCCTCAGCGCGTCCTAGTCACCTCACTCGAGCGTACCAAAAAAACTGAAAATATCGTCGAGTACCGAAACGAGATGAGAGTTTGTAGAACTTGATGAGACGAAGCAACTGTTCCATGCTGATTGCGTTGCTTCCATTCCCTTGTCACATGGCCCAAGCTCCCTGTTCCGGGTGGTAAAAAGATACGTACAATGACGCCAGAACCACTGCAATGCGGGGTCTAGGTACGCATGTATGAGCTGCATTAAATGACTTTACGTGCATAAACAGGGCATTTCACAATTGGAGACATTCTTCAAAATTCACAGCGATACAAGAGACAGACAGATCATAACTAAAACGACTCAATTATCAAGTACAAGTTGCCTACGCGATTAGTTCCTTGCTTTTAGTGAATTATCTCGCAAAAACACAAGCTGAACATCAAAGCTCGTTGATATAAAGCAATGAAACGCAGTCTTATATTGCAGTCAGTGGTTAGTTCGCTGCCACGTTAGAAACGATCGCTTATCCTCCGCTGTCGGTGTCCGGTTATATAACGATTCTTAAACTATAGTTGAGGTTTAAAGCTGTGTCAGAATGCCTCCCAGAACAAAACAGCCTTGTTAGTCTGCTCATTTAGGCACCGGGAGGTGGGGGAGGCGGAGGCTGATCACTGGGAGGTGGTGGCGGGGCATCTCCAGAAGGCGGCGGAGGAGGTGCAGCACCGGCATACTGCTGAATAAAGGCGTTAATGTCTCCCAAGCCTGGGGGAGCACCAGGAGGAGGTGGAGGCGCGCTGCCAGGAGCACCAAGACCAGGAGGAGCTCCCATTCCAGGGGCAGCACCGTAAGCACCATAGCCAGGATAACCAGCATACCCACCCTGAGTTCCAGGAGCCTGTTGCGCCCAGGGAGCAGCGGCACCTGAAGCACCTGCATAAGCCTGTCCGTAGTAGCTATCGGCACCGCTACCGCCTTGATGGTCGTCGTTACGACCACCGCGATCTCTAGCCCAGGGAGCTGCCGATCCACCTTCGTTAGAATCCTGGTTGCGGCTGCGCCATGGTGCAGGACCACCAGTAGGGCCTCGCTGCCAAGGCTTCGCGTCTCCGTTGTTCTGAGCGCCAGGGCCGGCCTCGATACGCGCAGGGGCTCCAGAAGACCCTCCACCAAGCTCTTGCATGAGTTGCTAATGCGTGTTAGTATTGTAAGTCGGAGAGAGAGCGGATTTCTTACCTCGTATTCACGGTCAACATCATCTCCGCCACCGATACGACCAGCAGGGCGAGCACCAGCATCATTCTGGCGCCAGCTAGCACCACGCTGTCGGTCGGGACAATCGCGAGCCATATGACCAGCGTTGCCACAAACGCGACAGATGATGCTTGCAGTGAAGTTTTGCTTCTCGGGGCAGTCGTACTTGCGATGGCCGATCTTGCCACAGTTCTGACAAGCTTGGTTCTCGTCGTCTCGGAGGGTACCGTTGAGCGCGGCGAGTTCTCGGAGCTGGTTTCGCTTGAGTTCGTTCTGGCCTTCAGGAATAGACGCAGCCTGGACAGTGTTAGTATATAGCTTTTGGGACTTGGAGGTAGACTTACAGTCTCAATGACGTTGTGGATGAGCTTCTTGGCCTTGTTGACCTTCTCTTCGGTATCGGCCATGATGAGACAGTGCAGATCTTCTTCCTGGTTGCTGGCGTGCGCGGCATCAGACCGACCCTTACCCTCCTTTACGGAGCCCTTGCCACGAATGGCGATCTTGGCACCTGAGTCTCCTTCCATTTTCTTCAGAGTATTACCACGAGGTCCGATAAGTAAACCAACTTTAGTACGAGAGAGCTAGTGTTAGTGTCTGATTCGCAAAGATTAGATGAACGTGTAAGGGTTAGTCCATTCGATGAAGGACCAGGCCTCAAACACCACCGGGCGTGATGGTGAGTCTGATCAAACTCCAAAAGGAAAACAAAAACAGGGGAATATTTTGGTAAGTAGGGTTAAAGGGTTAGCAATCATACTGAAGTTAATTTCCGGATAATCGTTAACAGGAACATAGACCTTCTCCTGAGTCTTTGTAGGTCTACGATAATCCTGTGGCGGGTGGTAGTTAGGAATGGTCTTCATGGCCTTCTCGATGAGCTTGTGGCGCTCATCTTCAAGCTTCTTTCGGTATCGGTACTCTCGTGTATTGATACGTCGACCGTGGTTGTCGTACTGAGGAGCGGGAGAAGGAGATCTGTCATGAGTTAGCAATGAATGGTATTATCAACAAGGAAAACTTACCGATCACCGTCGGCTGGGACGACATCGTCGATGCGAAGCTTCTGGGAGATTTCCTCGATACGCAAATGCAGTGTGTAGGCCTCAAGCTGTTCACTTGTCATATTGGACAAGATAGCAGTGGGCAAGCCCATGAGGCCAGCCGCTTTGTTCTCGGATGCATCACCCCATCGGTTTCGCTTCTTTCGTCGTCGAGGTCCATCAGCATCGCCGCGAGGCTCAGGATCGCGTCCACGCTTCAAGTCGCGATCGACTCCAGCGTTGCCATTAAACTCCTCCTCCTCATCTCCGAAGCGACGCTTCCCGAGAGGGATGTTGTTGGAACCGGTGATTCCTTGGCTTCTCCACGACATTTTCGAGCGATACGCGATCAAACTTTTGATGCGCTGGGAAAAAGGTATATGATGGTCCAGAAAAGAGCTGGACTTTCGTTGTGGATGTCGAAAGTTCAAAGTGGGTGCCTTGGTGCTTTCAAATGATATGGGGCGATTTGACGGGTCGGTGAAACACGCAGCCGGAGACCCACGTGACTTGCCTGAATCAGTTGAAGACTAGCACTGTGAAAAGGAAATGAAGAGGTCTTATATGACAGTGAACGATTAAAATTTTTATGGGAATGGGGATATCAATAACAGCGTGACTCTACGGTTTCATTGGATGTCATGTATATGTAGATTATGTTGCTTTGAAACGTAAAAACAAGGTTCTAATCTTGATAGGTTACATGCCTTGACTTTCTCACCGAGATATCAGACAAGTGATTACAGTGCCAGGCCATAGCAGCCAGACAAAACAGAGTTAGTCTGGCAAAAGACCAGAAGATTTTTCAAAGCCTATATCTAAACCCGACGACCTGCCAATCCGTCACATCTGATTCGGGGTCCAAGAAATCTCCATGCCCCTGACCATCCCCTTGTACAACACCCCCTGAGCCAGCACTTCCAACGATGCCCTCTTCTCTTATTCGTCTTTCATTCACCCCTTTTAGATAGGCTCTGAGACACGCAGCACAGACTGTGGCTAAGCTGTAGCAAATAGTGATAGCCTTGAAAGCCGTCTCGTATAGTGGATCCTCAGACCTTAGGAAGAAATGCGGACCTGCCATGTTCCCAACACAATATGTGATGAACAGCATGGCCGTTATTGTCATCTTCTTGGTAACACCTCGGTAATTAGATTGTACGAGGGCCATGGTGAGCGGCATTGCTGCAGAACCGCTCGAGAGGAGGAAGTAGGCGAAAAGATGGACGCTGTGAGGCACATTGTCTCGTTTGTAGATGATTGCACTGCCAATGACACATGGCATGATAACAACGACGATCAAAATGCAATTCAGCGTGCGGAATCGGCCAGCTAGGTATCCGCTTCCTGATATTATACCTGCTGATAGAAGTGAATAAGGTATGTTGATGAGCGTGGATTGCAAATTCGTGAATCCGAAAGACTCGACCACGATATTCGCGAAACTTTGGGATCCGCCATTCGGAATCTGCGTGAATAGCTCGATACCCACGATGAACCAAGATTTGGGGTCGATCAGGCACTCACGGACTTGATCCCATTTCCAACTCGTATGTTCAGTCGTACCAGTACCAGAAGACACCACACGTCGTGCCGCGATTCTTCTCTCCCTTGGTGTGAGGAAAGCGGCTTTAGAGATGTTGTCTGGGAGAAAGAGAAACAAAGGTATTGCCCACACAAAAGTCGTGGTGCCTAGGATGATGTACATCCACCTCCAAGGTCGTATCGATGCTCCATCGACATGTCCAACTGCAAATGCAAGCAAACTGGCCACCAAGCCGCCAACAGAGTTTCCAGAAAACCAGATTCCAACACGAGTCGGCATCTCATCGCGAGTATACCAAGTCGATGTCAGAAACATGAAACCGGGCGTTATCGTGGCCTCTGCGACGCCTAGAAGAAATCGTGCCACCAAGAGGCCACCGAAGTTATGGCATGCTGCAGTGAGTGCAACGACCGAGCCCCAAAATAGTGTGTTGACTGTGAGGTATTTACCAGTTGGAAGACGTGCAACGAAAACAGTTGTTGGATATGTCCATAGAAGATAGCCTAAGTAAAAGACGCTACCGACCCAGCTGTATTGCTGGCCTTTGAGATGCTGCAACAATGTCAGTGGTGGAGGGCTGGGATCGAATGTTGGACATACTGTATCCTCTCTTAGTCCAAAAACAGCGGCGCTGGATAGAATGACCTTGTCCATGAAATTCAACATATAGGTTATGAACAGTAATGGAATGATGACTCTGTCAATCTTGGCCAATACTTTGGTTGCAGCTTCATCGTCGATAGTGTCTTCTTGAGGCAATAGGATACTGCCGGCAGAAGAATTATGTCTATGGCTATCTAAGAGCGGAAGGTTTGGATTGTTGTCGACTTGATGTTCTGTGAAGCCGTTTGGTTCATCGTCAAGTGCTGGTGAAGCATCTCTTCCGTCCGAGGTTTTGGTTGAACATGGCTCATTCATCTCTGCTCTTGCAGGATGGAGTGATAGCGAAAAAGAAAAAAGAACCGCATTTATCTATTCCCATAGTTTCGTTGGCGTTAGGTTTCCCATGTTCAATTATTTCTGAGAAATGATGACTGTTGAGAGGGCAGAAAGCTAAGTGCTTGAAAGATAACGGTCAAGCGTACAAGTGCGAATAGCTCTCTGATACTGTACTGGGCACGGACAGATGTGGGTGATCCAAATTGCATAAATGATCTCGCCGCGATCAGTCGAAGCAAGCAAGAAGATATCTCTGAAATTGAGGAGAATGGGCTTATTATATTTCCGATCCAAATCATCTCTGCTCACAAATATCCAGGCGACCAAGCCGTGGTCTCATGCTATCTTTCTACATGGCTACCTTCATATCAGGCCGTCGATGCACCTTGAGGTCCAGGAGTGATGTTTCTCATTTCCTGACTCTCGTTAGCGCCTGTCGAAGAGTCAAACTCGTCTGCTTGGTTCGATTCCACCGCCTCAATGACAATGCCCAAGTGTGCTTCCTGATGATCTTTGCTGAGATGATGAGCTTTCATAAAGAAACTAAGCAACAAGCCAATGCCGGAGAATGCGGTATACTACCGAGGATCAGTATGCAAGAATAATTGTAAGTCGATCAATTTTCGCACCATTATCCACATCTTGTCGAGAGCATTGAAGAATGCTGTCCTCACGACAAGCTGCGACTCTGTCGGTATGGTCTTGATCAGATCGACGCTCGCAGACGCAGATGCACCATTGAACAACTTGGCAAGGTCGGGACCCAGACTATCTTCAAGAGTCTGATATTCACTCTTCATTTCGTTCTGGAACAGTATCCCGCCAATGACAACGGATATCCCTGAGGCCAGTGTTCGAATAAAGCCCATCGCTGTGGTCGCGGCCGCAACATCCTTGTGCGGCACAACAGCTTGAACAGACAACAATGGGCCTTCAAAGTTCAAACCAACCCCAATTCCTGTCACTATCTGGAAAGAGATCAATTTTGCCCAGTTCATCTCAATTTCCAGGCTGATCATCAGGCCCATTCCCAGTGTCATGATCAGCAACCCCACACGGGAAACAAGAAGATACGTGCCACTGAACTGAATGTAGGCTCCAGTAAGAGCAGCAGAAATTGAGATGGGCAAGATGAAAGGGAGAAGTAACACACCCGAGCGCAGTGGGCTTGCCAGAAGAACTGCTTGGAAGTATAACGGTAGGTAATAGGCGACACCAAGGAACACAAACGCATGGAAGAATGTGACGGCGTATGCTGAAGAGGATGAAGAGGTCTTGAAGAGGTGTACTGGTAGAACAGGAAACTCTGCCAACTTCCACTCGTTCCATATGAACAACGCGCCAGTGACCACACCAGAAACTATGAGAGACACCACTGTTGCAGAGTTCCAAGGCTCGTACACGCCGCCAAGATAAAGACCGAGCAGCAACATCAAGGTCCCTCCTATGATGAGAAGGCTACCGGGCCAGTCGATGGCTTTCAGACCTGCCCAAACAGGGGTGTTGGGAGATGGGAGTTTGAGGGTGAATACCAAGAGAACAAAGACTGCAGCGATGATTGGTACTAGAGATATCAGCTACAGCTCGAAAGATCTGTAAGTAAACTTACAATTGATCCAAAAACACCATCTCCAACTGGACCCTGTTAGTAAGAATACCTTCCAACATGGACAAACTCACTTCAACTGATCCGTAAGTGCGCCTCCAAGTACGGGACCAATCCCAGATGCAACGGCCCAGACAATCGACGTCAGTCCATAGTATAGCCCGCGGTCCCGTTGTGAGAACATATCGCTGATACAAATATTCACCAGCGTCTGCATACCAGCGGCGCCCAATCCCTGAATGGCCCGTCCAGCGATAAAGACAGCCAGGTCATCAACCAGAGCACAAATAAGGCTACCCGCAAAGAATATGACATTGGCGACGAGTAATATGGGTTTTCTACCCCAAATGTCGGAAATCTTGCCCCACGGTGGTGTCGAGGCAGTATGGGCGAGGACAAAAGATGTGCCTATCCAAGTATAGCCCGAATCGGATGCGAAATGGGCGGCGATGGTTGGAAGTGCGGTTGACACAATTGTTAATTCAAGTGCGGCAAGGAAGACACAGGCGCAGAGTGAGGACATCACTGTTGCGATCTGAAGCAGAGTCTTTTTCGATTTGGTACTCTGGGTGCCGGGGTCGTTGGAGCATGAAGCGCCATGGTTGTTGCACGAGTTTGAGACCGGCGTTTCTCGAACAGAGCGGTGTTGATTGCAAACTTGGTATGTCTCTGAGCCTCTGTCGTGGGTATCGTCAAGTTGTGTAATTGGCAATGATGGCCCAGGCGCTTTGGAGATTGTTTGTGACATGATTGTCGTAAAAGTCTAACATGGCAGAACATCTTCGGATGTGAGTTAAGAGGAGAAGAAGAAAGGGTATTTATATGACAGGACTCAATGAAAGAAAGATGACATCGATTCCGTCCCGACCTTCATTCTAGTGGTTCGTTTCTTGTAAAAGGACCCTTGCTTATGGTGTTGCTCCTAGTGGATCCTTTCTGAATGCGATCGCATTCGAGGTTCCACCAAGACGGACGGGATTGTATCTGGGGTAAGCGCATTCCCACCTCAAGGGTCCTTGGTGCTTCCCTTCGTATCTTTGTCCTCACAACTTGCGTCGCCTGATTCTGGCGTCCTACACTCATCTTCATTAACTCTTGTCTTTTTGTTCTCCCGAGACGATGAACCTTGACTACAGCATCAGCCTCCCATGTTCAGCGATGCCGCCACACCTTTATCCCATGTCAACAAGATGCGCTAGGCGATGCGACCACCCTTAAGAGAACTGGCTGGCACATCACGTGTGAGGCTTCATGCGTGATAACACCAAGTCCTACATCTCAAGTCCTGGGCATAGGCGATTTACCGGTATCAGACAGTGTCGCTTCATTCACAAGAACCGAGCCAGCTCGCCCAGTATGCCAGACAACAAATCCGATGCCAAAACTTTACAACCTCATACTCTCTGCTCCCTCTGTACATCTTTCTGGGAGAGTGCAACATGCATCAGATTCCGACCTGAAGTCCTTCTCAGTGGTGGAGATGATGTCCCATCGATGCCCCAGCATCTCCTCTTCTCTCCCAGCCGCACCGATGTTCTATCCGCAGCTTCGCAAGGCTGCCACTTCTGCTCCATCATCGTTGGAGCCGTTGTAGGATGCACCGGAGATCATGGTGATCGACAGTTTTCTGGTGACAAGAATGGCCCTGTCTACATCTCAATAGCGATGTTAGACACAGATGCCGGTACTTTTCTCCTCACGTTGTTTCCCTGCGAAGAGTCAAGGATCTTTAGTCATGATCAGATACTCAGCGATTATCCCTTACAACTACGCCCAGTCACAGGTATAACTTATCGTACCTTGAGATTCTCGGGGCTAATCTTTTTTAGAGAGCCATGGGGGCATTAAAGCTGACCATCAACACCTTTCATCGACGCTGCAGTCAACAACCTATTGCGACGCAACTGCCGACTTCGTTCGGTCTTGGATTACTGAATGCCAGAGTACTCATATCCTGTGCGGCGACGACCTTTTGAGCCTGATTCTTGGTTCCACAGAAACAAAAGCACGACCCCGGCGCTTGCTAGATCTGTTGGCTTTCCAGGATATCGAGAAAATACGGCTTATCGAGGCCAACAATGACCACACCAAGGAGTACTGCGCTCTGAGTTACAGCTGGGGTTTTAGTAAGCCCTACGTCATGAAATCCTCTAATCTGGCGGCGTTTCAGAAAGGAATTCACGTCAAAGATTTGCCGAAACTACTACAAGACTCTATTCGAGTCGTTCGGGGTCTCGGGTTCAGGTATCTATGGATAGATGCCCTTTGCATCATGCAGGATGGAAGCCAATCTTCTTCAGCGTCGGACGACTGGGTTGACCAGGCAGGCAAGATGAACGACATCTTCGGGAACGCAGCTGTCACCATCGCGGCAGCCGAATGCTTTGACGGCAACTCAAGCATGATCGTGCCACGAAACCCGCTGAGTCAATTATCTTGTCGACTGGACGCAAGCACGAATCTCTATTATGAAGTCGTTCCACCATGCACTCCGCATTGTTTGTTACACCCTTTTGATAAAGCACGCTTTCATCTCGATACCAGAGCATGGGTTTTCCAGGAGCGCATATTGTCGCCTCGGACAGTGCACCTGACTCGCAACTTTGTTCATCTTGAGTGCAGGACTGAGCTCCGTTGCGGAGCTATGGGAGGACCTGACGCATGCTATCACAGCGGCGCAATTGCCAAAGCAGATTATCAAGTGCTGTTTTCCATGTTTGGACCCAACGGGCTTGATGATTCTGCCCACGACGCATTTCTCTCCTTCTGGCATGAGCTCGTCCAGAGGTATTCGACAACGAATCTGAGCCGCAAGTCAGACTTGTTGGTTGCTTTGGCTGGTCTTGCAAAGCAAGTTCAGATAAAATCACAACTTACCTGGTCATTTGGATTGTGGCAAGAGCATCTACTCCGGGATATGCTATGGTACATTAGGGGAGGAAGAGGCGCACCTTGCCATGAGAGGTCGCCGACTTGGTCGTGGGCCAGCATTGATGTACAAGGACCGCAGGTCATTTATGAGCCTGCCAGACAAGTTTCCCTTCTCGCAGATATCACCAGCCTGCCCGACGCAACAGACTTTGTAGGCCGTGGTTTACTGGTGGATGCAACGAAACATTGCGTCAAGGTTTCAGGACTGTTACGACCTGGTGCTCCGGATTTGTTAAAATATGGTCAAGATTCTGCTTCTAGCATGAACAAAGATATTCGTGTCCATCGGAATTGCCAAGGGATACGACATATCCACCGCCAATGCCCATTTCACCCAGACTACGACCTCCCAAACAACATCGAGTTGTACAGTTTACTTGTAGCTTGCGCTTCGGGAGCTCAACAAAAGATGGGCTCTTCTGAAAATTTAGATGCGCATGTGGGGATTGTTCTGACGCCTGTCCCAGAACATGAACGTCGATACAGACGCGTTGGCTATTTCCATATTGACATTCAGGAGACTGACGATGATGATCAAGAAATACCGTGGATTCTGGAGAGCTCTGGTTTTGCTGAAATAGAGGTCATCTAGCACCCGACAAATCTCAAGCGAGACAGTGTAAAATGTTCCTGATACACTCCTGTTGCTCTGTCACTCGACCCACACGCCGACTTGTTGGCTCAAACCATATTAGTGCTTCATTTACTGACTCATCAACATATCGAGATGCTTTCTGCAAGTGTCGTAAACAAGCTTCTCGATCATTACGCATAATCTCAAAACGCATCTGCTCTATTCTGCCCAGGCCCTCTAGAGCAGCGTAGCGCAACTTCGCCCGTGGGAAGCCACTGAGCTGTTCAGCCCGTTCCAAAGCCACCTTGTAGTATGACTCTGCGCCGTCTAGATCACCACCATCTAGGTGATCATCTGCAACATTGGTGACAGTCCAGACAACGTTTCGTGCGGATGGTCCATAGAACGATTCTTGGTTCCGCAAAAGCTGAGCGCGGCGGTAGCCACCCTCAATACGGTCTCGACCGTGATAAAGACAGTCACAAAGTCGCTCCTCGATATAGAGACGATGCCAGGTGTCGGGAGACTTATCGGAGAATATTGCCAGTGCAGCCCGAAGGCTCGAGATAGCCGTGCACTGCAGTAGCGCAGGTGGCAATAAGGAAAGGGACACCAAGAATTGGACGAGAGGGGAGGGTGTCCGTAAGGACGAAGCCATTGCTGCCGAATACCGGAGTAGGCATCTCAATACTTCCTGTGCATTGCACGCCGAGAGCTCACAAACGATGGCCAACAGTTGAGCAAGACTCATTGGATGGCAGTCAGAGAGAAGAGGCTGAACAAGGTCAAAAGCTTGATGGAAGTGCGGAAATGCGCCTGGGCCTCCACGCATCATCTGTGCTAGACCTTCTTGCATGCGGTTGCCAAAGCGTCCGTGTATCGTGAACTGATGGACCTCTGGCTCTGGGTGGATGTCTTGGCTGAGGTAGACTCCGCAGTAGTCAATTATACTGGCAGCTGCCTTTTGCTCGAGGGTGAATATAGGCGTGGGAATATTGACAGGAGACATAGACATGGCCACGCTGCTGGCTGAAGATAGCGCAGCGAGTGTTGAACTACCTTCGCTCGCACCCTCCACAGGACTTTCTCCCTCTTGAAGAAGCCTGACAGGTGGCTCTTCCTGGGATACTGCGGCTGAACGACACCAGTCGATTGGGTTCTGTATGCCCTTCCGTCTAAAGTATCGCAATATCTCATGCAACGGGACATGGCGTCCTCTGATCACGAACCAGGGCTCTGGGACTGGCCACGATGCAGGATCTGGGTCAAGTAAGCGAAGAGCCGCAACCATGCCGTGGAACTGGTTGTTTCTCTGCAGGTTCCATTGGCTGATTCGAGCCCTGATCATGCGCGTGTTGACCCTGTATCCTAGTGATTTCAGATGATCCCTGACCTCTGCCATAGAAAGTCTGCGGTCGTGGTAGAGCTCTTTGACGAGGGGTCGCAGGCGAGACCAGTCCTCGCTCGATGGTATCGTAAGAACTGATTGGGGATTCATTAGGGCGACTAATTTGGGAAGGAAGGCTTGCATGTAGAGTCTGTGGGGGATGAATATTTGGATATATATGCATGGGCGTTTTGTAGTCCATATATTGGCGTCCCATTGAATGGGCTAGATCACACCATGGCTGTCAAACGTCCAGCCCTTGGCATCCCATGCATTAAGAAGCGAGGGGCTCGAGGGTCTTTCAGCACCTGGGGCCCCTCACGATATGCAGGTTTAGTGATCCAGATGTCCGAGCAACTTTATCACGACGTATTAGTCTGATACCTCATTGGACACCCCTCAAAGTACACACTGGCGGGGAGGCATTCTTGCATCGTTCGTCCATAAATATGCCTACGCTAGCCACGTGAAGGCAGCCTTGTTCTAGTGTAGGACTCATTCGGTAATTGCAGCAGTTGAAATCAGCCCATTTGGGCCCTGGGACTTGAGAAACGGGAGGGTTCAGCTCGTGCGGCTGAGTTGCGATAGCGTGTAAGTCGCAACATCGGCCCAATCAACGGTAACGAGGAGGTCACTATTGATCTACTTATTGATTTTCAACCCAGTTTATCAGAGTTCAAGCTCTATTGGTGTGGCACTTTACCAAGAATGCAACCACTTAATTCTCCAGGTACAAGAACGCACAGTAGCCAAAAGCCATCGAATGAGTGCTTCATGACTTCGTGGAAATGACAGAGTATTATACCATATTGAAAAAGAAAGAATAAAAGATGAAAACAGCAGAGGAGGGTCATTAAACCAGCTTCAAACGTAGTCCCGGCCTTCCAACTACATCACCACACAGCTATCCGTCACAGCATCAACAATCTCCTCCACGATCCCACCACTATCTCCATCATCACTATCACCGTACCCAGAGAATCTCGTATGAACGTCAGAGTCATGGATTCGCTGGTTTGTAGTTGTGTCGACGTAGCTGGCGCCGTTGTTGTAGTCAACGCCAACTGTGTGGTTGTCACCTGTTGTAAGCTCAGGTTTGTCGACGCTGGTGGGATATTCGACCTTTGGAGGAGGTGGAGGAGTTTCTGAAGACATGCTTGACCCGGATGGATGACAAGTGATGCGAGTTGCTTGCGAGGGAGGGTGGAATAGATGGGTTATTCAGCTAAAGGGTGTAAGGTATTGAGTCAAGTTTGCCTTGGAAAGCGTGAGCGTGTTCGTGATAGAGGGAGTATCAAGATTATATACATATATACATAATACCTGAAATCAAGACTTATACGGGTTCATGGGAATACGGGGGAAACTACGGATACGTAGTCTATCAACGTGCCCAAAGTGCCCGGGCAAAGACACAGCTGTGCCTTATCCCCGCCCTAAAGAGGAGAGAATTCACTCTAAAGAAGCTTTCAGCCTTAAACAGGGTAGCTAATGCACGGGCACTGTTCGTTAGCTGGTCATGCATGGGCGTTCTGTCAAACTAGCGGTTTTAGACGACCACAGTCTTCCATTAGTTTCGACGACTTACATGAGCGATACAACACTACAACTGCTTTACACTCGCCGCCTTTGAAGTCACTCTTCAGCTCGCTTATGCGTGGGCTTTCTGTAAATATTTGGCGTCTGTAGGGGCAGCTATCAGCTAACCGATGCCACCATCTCAAGGATTTGGCCCTTGCTTTGTTGAAATAACCTTATCAGCAAGCATACTGGTCAGACACCCTAAAGCTGCATACTAACCATGTCTACATGAATGAGATTGGAGTCACAGTATTGTGGTTGTGCGCCAAAAAAGTGTCTGGATTCAGCCTCGCACGCTTTGATACAAGACAAGAATTATATATACTTGGGATTGCCTCTCACGAAAGAGACTCATCTTGTTCAAACCAAGGCACAGAGAGTCAACTCATACAGTTTGGATACATAATTCACAAGCCCTTCAATCCGACAGTGATCTCTCTTAGTAAGGCACTAACAGAGACACATCTCTGATCATCCTACCCATCAACCCCCTTCCACTCGAGACATTATCTACGAACAGAAAGAAGCAACATGGTCTTCCATCTTATCCCAGCCCTCGCAGTCGCAGGCGTCAAGTATGTGATCAAAGAAGCAACTGACGCTCCGACCTGCGGATGCGGCAAGGAGAAGATGAAGATGTGGGCGGGCTTCCGTATCATCTTCCTTTGTGAGGATTGCGAAGACGGCATGGCAGTCAAGTTGGGACTGAAGGCCGTGCAGATCGCGACTTTTGGCGTAAGTGAATTCTCTCCGATTTTGATTGAGTGTGTGATGTGCGAGATTGTATGCTAAAGTTGGCTTGAAGTTAGCGAATTGATACCCATTACTATGATCGAAGAGGAGATTATGCCACCTCGGCCATCTACGTGCTATGTCGTTTCTTCAATTGGATGGAAGATGCTGAGGAGGTTGAACAGAGAATCATGTGTAGCTTTATATGGGGGTGTTCGGATAAGCGATTCGACGTTGTGTATGATCGGACATTGGATTGATGTAGATGACTGGCACCCTGCAGGAGTCACTCTTTTATGTAATGATGATATACGTATTAAATGCATGCGATTTTCAACCAAAATTTCTAAATTCTTTATATCTAGCTTTATTATAATTACGATCCAGGGAGTTTATTCATACTTAAAGAAGCCATATACACTAAAGGTCTACTAGACCTCCTTTATAACCTACTTACTCTATAAACATCCATTGCCTTCTCTGTTTTAACTACCCGTGCCTCGGGGGTCAAGAAAACAGCGAACTTTAATATGCGGTATGAAAATAAACTTATCAAAAGTTATCCTAATCTTAGGCTATATTACCTAAGTCTTTTGTTATCTAGGATCAAGGTCCTGTGTGTTCTTCCCTCCCCTAGCCTTGATCTTGATATGCAGCTCAAAAACCCTCCGACCCAGCCCCTCAACCAATGCAACCTTGGCTGCCATATGCCTCTCACCATCACTCATATTATCTTCCGCCCAACTGTCTCCATACGAAGAAGGGAACAGTGCTTTCGGACCCGATGCCTGTGGGATCTCGAGCTTCTCATATTCGGGTAGGCAGAGCCGCGACCGCTGGTTCTTCATGCGCCTCTGGATCTCGCCTGCACTGAGACCGTCAATCTCGCCATAGAGCTGGTTTGGCTGGAGATCTTCAGCTGAAGTCCAGGCGTGTTGTATGAAGCTGGGAAGATCAAAAACCCGGCACCACAGATGCCATGGAGACGCATCGGCAGTCTCTTTGAGCACTTCGCGTTGTATGCCCCATATGACAGCGGTGTACGCAAATCGACCAGCACCTCGTCCACTTGGCCCGTCACCTGTATTTGATCTTTCCGGGTCCTCAAGCATAAAATTAACAAAATGGATGCCGCCAAAATATCTCTCACCGTCTCCGTTATGCTGACACTTTTTGAATGCCCAGCGAGACGGTATCTGGGTGGCGCGACCTTGATAACGACTAAAAGGAGGATGGCTACCTCCGCTGTCCATAGTAAAATTCAGCTTCTGCTTATCCAAAACGAAATACACCGGGCCAGTCTCCGGACCCTCTTCAGGAGAAGGACCGGCCGTTGCGTTGATAGGGCTTTGTTGAAGCAGAATGCTGATGTCCTTCGTGGTGGCCTCGTCGAGGGTTGGGGTGAGCGACAAACGTCGATCGACTTCGCCAATTGATGACTCTACAACGAACGAACCTCGAGTTATCCTGGGATTTACGGGAACAATATGCTGATGGTATACCCTTCGGTACATATCGACAGTTCCCATATACTCTAGCAGCAAGGCAGGTCGCACAAGGTAATCATCGTCGTATGCAAGATGCATTATACCCAGCCAGAGATTTCGAGAAGGAGTCTGCGTTCCGTCCGGCACCACCTTGCAAGGACAAATCCACAGGCTGGTACGTATAGCTGTATCAGTGATCTCCATGGTAGCCAAATTGCCGAGGAAATTAGCCTCATACTTCTTGTCGACCCTGTTGAAGACCCGGCGGCCAAGAATGTGAACAGGTTCCTTGAAGGCACTGGATGAAGGAGCCAAACAGCCTGGTGCAAACCCTTGAGGTGCAACATCAGGCCGAGCGCGCCATAGCAGGACTGACTGGTCTTTTGACTGCCGGACGATAGCCTCTTGAAGACGCAAGAATGCCTTGTCACCTTCGCCATATAGCAAGGGCATGTTTAAGTTGAAGAGACCGAGGAGGCAATAGGCCGCATCTTCTTTGCGCGTCGTAATACGGGACGATGCCCAGCTCATTTTTATGGAGACGGCGAAGGAGTCTAAAGTCTGAGGGAGTGTGTCAAGTCCTTGACAGTCAGCACAGATACCGTTGCGAACTGCAAAGAGATAATGCCCTATAAAGCTTGGGCATGTACACCGCGGTTCTCGAAACAACTGCGGCCAGATGCCAGTCCTTTTGCAAATACGATCGAGAAGCGTGCCGTCTCTCGAACCAAAGCTCATCCAGTTCTTGTCGTAAAACTCAACATTTCGTGGTGCTATGAGCTCCTGCAAGGTCCATCCTCTGGTAAACCACAGGCTATCGAAGAAAGAAGTATCTGATTCATCGAGGACAACATATCTGTCAGCCTGGTCATACTTAATAATCTTGCTGTTGAGAGTAGTGTCGAAATCGTCGAGGTAGACATAGCACTTTGCTGACTGCTGATACCACCTGAACATGGAGTTGATGGCCTCTGAGAGCTCTGCGCTGCTAGTTTTGTCGATGCAGCATGTGTCGACCCAGACATAGGATAAACCGTCTTTATCGGCCCGGTCCAGAAGATCCCAGATCTTGGAGAATGACTGACGGCCCTGTAAGTCCTGTAGTGACCCTTGTGTTAGATCTTGAAAGGTTATTTCGTCTCTCCCCCACCGATGCGATAGAATCCCGTATGGTGGGACCTCATTCTCGTCGCCGAAGAAGCTCTCGAGTCGCTCATCGACCACATTCAAAAGCCGCATTGTGTAATAAAAAAAAAAGCCGGTATCAAATGATGTAGGAATTGATGATCCTGTATTGAAACCTAAAAGTTGAGATGGAATTTGCGAGAAGGCTGATGAAGGACATCGCCCGACGAGGCTCTCAAGAAGGCATTCTTGGGGCAACTGCAACTGTAACTGCAACTGCAGGCTGTTTCAGTGCAAAGGAGGCAAGAAAGTATTACCACTAGTTAAGATACTAGAGACATCTACCTAGCTAATATATGTAAATATTTAGATAGCAATAGGATAAAATATAATAAACTTAGTAGACTTTATAATAATCTTGCCCAATTTATTTTCGCTCTCCTCATCCCTGGGTCTAAGGCCTTCTGCCCGACTGCCCGACGAGGCCGGCCATCGAGTCAACCTCCACCACCAAAACTCACCAACTAACACACCCTTTCAACACAGCCTCTCCATAACGTCATCCCCAATCCAATGTCTCAAACTCCAAATCCCAACTCGTGCAATTCACAATTTCACATGCCCTTTCTCCCAATTCTTTGCCTCAGACAATGCAATGCAATCATCGAGTCACCCAGCCATAGGGTTTTATCCCCCCATTGCCGCCGACTCGAACTGATCCTGGTAACCAAAGCTGCAATTCAGCTGCACCTCCATCCAATGCCCTCGCTCTTTAGAGTCATCCTTGGCTGTATGTCACTGATTGGTTAGCGCCTGACGAATGGCGGTTGTTTTACAGGGGGGCAGCAGCTTTCGCTTCTTCTTTCAGGTTCGCTAAGGGCTTTCTTATCCGCGGGACAGAATAACTCAACCACTAGACGCCCGGCTTAGGTGAGGAAGTGTGCTGGTTATATTGGCGAGTGGTCGTTCGACAGGGGAATGATCGACCGGGCTAGAAGGCCCCAGCAAAGCACTCAATCAGAGCTGTTGCTAAGAATATCCTACCCTCGGCCTGGTCTGCTCTGGGTCATGTGTGAGTGACCTTCTTCATGATTCTCGCCATCTTCTTCACTCTTTGTTTACTGTTTCTCTTTTCTTTCTCATCTCCGATGGCAATGAAAAACAACCCTCCGACCTGAAAAATAAACCCCACGTCACGATGGCCTTTTGGCTTTTTGGCGGCACGAAGCGCAAGAAGTCGAGCAAGAAGTCCAAGAAAGGGACGAAAAATAATAAAACGATAGCTTCTTCCAAGCCCAAGATAACAGACCCTCCAAATGTCTTTCGTCCTGCGAGACCTCAGATTGAACCGCCTCCTTATCCAGGAAACGTACGTCCGAATACTGCGGCGTTGAGACCTGCTCTTCCGTATAACCAGCACCATGCGTCTCAATCACAGCCTCACTTTCAGCCTGCTGGCTATCTCCCAGCACCGTCGGGCTTCAGCACTCAACCGGTGGTGATCAACAATCACTATCATCTCGGATCGCAGCAATCGCACCCCAACCTGTCTGTATTTACACCACCGCATCATCTCGCCACTACAAACTCACACCAGACCCTCTCATCGTCGTTGAATCGATTCACGGGCTCAATGGTGAATCTGGCCAAGGAATCACTTCCACCACAGCTCTACGACGATGGGTTATCGGCTTGGCATGGATGTGCGCAGATTGCTCAGTCGACGAATGCGCTGTATGATCGGTTCAACGATATCATGACGCTTATTGATCATGAGAAGGTACAGGGCAATGAGAGTAAGCTCTTCAATTGTGCTGTCACGGATCAGGAGCAAAAGGTGGATCAAGTTGATAAGGGTATGGGAAAGACAAAGAACAAGGAAAAGTCCTCATGCAATGTTGCTGCGTCTGTGGTGTCGGGCAATTACTTCTCTAAGGTCGAGCAATACGCAAACTCCAAGCTTCCTTTAACACTACCACCACTATCTCTGTGTGTATATCCCTTCAGCTTCAATTCTCTTCTAACAGAAACAGACACATGCCTACATGGCCTCTCCTTTGTCTCGCCGCTCAGTACTCCCAGCGCGTCTACGAAAGACCTCGCGGCACCGAACGAGACGCCCACGTCTCATCCGACTGGCTCGCTGGTCCCAGACAGACCTGCATCAAGTCCGTTTCCATGGACGACATGAACACCATCGTCTTCGCCATCCGTGGCACAGCAAGTTTCATGGACTGGGCCGTCAACCTCAACTCTGCACCCATCAGCCCGCTCAACTTCCTCGATGATCCGGGAAACCTGTGCCACGCGGGCTTTCTCTCCGTTGCCAAGAAGATGGTTCGCCCGGTAGCTGCGCGATTGAGACAGCTTCTTCAAGAAGACCCCAAGCGCTCGACGTTTAGTCTCTTGATCACGGGTCATTCGGCTGGTGGTGCTATTGCTGCGTTGCTGTACTCGCATATGGTAGCCCAGACGTATGCGGCAGAGAGTGAACTCAACGTCTTGACGAATTGCTTCAAGAGAATACACTGCGTCACGTTCGGTGCACCACCAGTGTCTCTCCTCCCACTAGCAAAACCCGAAACTCACGCTCTCCGAAAGAGCATCTTCCTGAGCTTCGTCAACGAAGGAGACCCCGTTGTCCGCGCCGACAAAGCCTACGTCAAAAGCCTCCTTGATCTCCTCGCCTCACCACCACCATCCCAACGAAAGGACCCAAAGAAAACACGAAAGAAGCCAACATGGAACGTCCCCCCGTGCACACTGAGCAACGCAGGCCGTATCGTGGTGCTACGCTCAGGGGACATAGACGCCAAGCCCAAAGACCGTAAGACGGTGCGAGAGCGTCTCGACGAGGGAGTAGTAGCAGTGACGTGCTCCGAGGAGAGGCTGAGGAGTGTTATTTGGGGAGACCCCGTGTGCCATCTAATGAGTTTGTATGCTGCGAGGATAGAGGTGTTGGCTGTACGGTCTGTGACTGCGAGACGTTAGCATTTGATGAGAGTTGGAAATTTGGTCACGAAGTAATGAATGAACGGGGTTGACTTTGGCGTTACGATACCTACCAGAACGAAAACAAAGATACCAGCAAAATACCCAGAATCTACAATTAAATCTATACAATCACAAGCAAAGTAGCCGAATCAATTAATGCTCATGTCAAACCGGTTCAGTGCACGGGAGAGAAGTTCAAGATGAATTGAATAGAGTCAAGTTTTGATTCATAATTCTATAACCACAGTGAAGAATGTGCATAACACCATCAATGTAAAGGTTTCCGTAACATAATGTTTGTTTTCAGGGATCCCCGATCCAAGTCACTTGACCACATAACAAGACCCTCAGCCATATCTTGCAAAAGACAGGTGATCCAAAACTCCGAAGCGCCAACCGGTTTCGCTTTGATCCGCGGACAGAAACTTGCTCCCAAAATAGATACCACGCAAGATCAAAGAAGCGCTGTATTGTGCGCTCATGTCATAGTAATTCCAGAGAAGGGAACGAGAAATGCACACAGGGCTTGCCTAGGCACTCAGGCCGAGGCAGCATGTTGTTTTTTTTATATAAATTTTGGTGTGATTATCGCATTGAAAAGTCCATGTCAGACATTGACCCCATTTGCGACAAGGGAGGTTGGTTTTGCATCTGATAGCTATTTTGCCGCTGCGGTTGTTGTATACCGTATATCTGCTCTATTGTTGGGTTCATGGATGGAGTGTTGACATTCTGGTTCTGTATGCCCTGCAAGGGGGGTTGACTTCCAACACGTTGCTGATGTTGCATGTTGCTCAATGGATTGGGTTGAGAGGCTGTGAATGCACTCATGCCCATTTCAGACATGTCAAAGCCGCCCATGCCCACGCTACCGACATTGTAGTCGATGCCAGGGGACATGACATTAGCAGGTGAGCCGACAAATGCCGAGGCCATATCACCACCTGGCTGTGTACCAGGGGGCGTGCCATTCGAGTAATTGGAGTTGGGGATTGTGTCAGGACTACTGCCACTCAAATCGTACTTGGTCTCATTCTCGTCAACGACCATGCCTTGGTTGTAGTCGTTCATTTGTGGCATGCTGGCCATACCGGCATTGCCAAAGCCGTCGAAAATATCAACAGACATTTGCAAACTGTTCGCTGGGGCGTTTCGCAGCAGTGGGTCGGCCAGACGTGGAAGAATCTCGTTGACCTTGGCCAACAAGAGAGGAGTGAATGCAAATTCACCGTTTCGGGCAGGGTGGAGAGAAACGAGGATACTTTCGAGCCACTGCTGAGGGCCCACGGTCGTGGGGTGTCGATCCGGGGCCATGCTGCCCAGATAGGCAGTCAGCTTAAGACAGATCTCAAATAGCTTGGGGAACTGTGAAGTTGTTAGATCCGTGTTATTCGAAGATGGCAATTAATACATACCAAGCAGGACTTTGCAAGCTCAAGTGGCTGGCCCGCAAAAGAAGAAGCCATCTTGCCGGTCATTTGCCGTGCCAGATCACCGTACTGATCTTGGGGGTGGTTAAGCTGCCAAATTGCACTGGTCAGAAATTGTTGAGTGGCCAAAAAGGCATTTTCGGGATGGAAGGCGTTCGTGGCTTTCCATTCCTTGAGGTGATTCTTAAGACTAGTGATTTGATGGCAATCGAGAAAGTCGCAGCCCTTTCTCCAAGCGGCCAGGAAAGACTCGTCCATATCTTGGAAGATGTTGCACATGAGGAAAAAGGTGTTAAGCTCGGGATACGCGGCATCGTTGCCATCGTCGTGCATCTGGCTAGGTGCGATTGTCGCCCAAAGAGACAAAGGCCGACGAAAATTGAAAAAGTAGACGCGCTCGGTGGCGAACAAGAACCAGAAAAGTCGACGTCTTCGGACAGCTTCAGTTGGAGTGAACTGGGCGTAGGTTTCTTCCTTGTCCATGCCTGCAAGGAGAGCCATAGTTGTGGCCTCTCGAAGGTAGAACCACGCTCTATCTGGTCCCCCCATTATCTTGATGCAGGAGTAGATGAAGACGTTTGTGACCACAACGTTGGAGGTTGGTGTCTCAAAGTAATCGAAGCTCTTTCGAACGCGTAGGCACTCCTCGAGAAGTAAAGTGCTTGCGGCGATGTTGGCGCCGGGATTGTTCTGAAGGCTGAAGGACTCTTCTGCCGATACAGTTGGCAGGACCATACCGGGCTGAAGTACTACATATGCGCAGAGAGCTGCAAGTAGACAGTACCCCTCACGGGCGTTTTCCATATTGTGCATCATGTGTTCGATTTGGTTTCGGTCGAGGAAAGGCAATGTCGAGTAAGCATTTTCGAAATAGTAGCTGACACAAGCCTTGATCAGATCGTTGGACAACATGCCAGCTGTAGGGTTGAGAGCAGGAATGGTATAGTCAGTGTGCTGTCCATTGAGTCTGTTTTGCACCTTGGCAGCGAGACTGGCCTGGCGTTGGCTGTCTCTCAATTCGGTGATGACTTTTGCGCGAGAGCCTTTGGGACCCTTCTTCTGAGGAACAGCGAGATATGTGCATTCAATACCAGCAGTTGCGCAGTTGCGACAGGTCAGGCCACTATCACACTTGACCTTGCGACGATGGCAGCCATCGCAGGCCCTCTTAACCGCGGTTGTCATTGCTGGTTTTGGTGCCGTTGACATGGCAAGTTCCCTTGTCAGTATCAAAGAAAGTTATCAACGGCCGTGGCGGATCGTCGGGGTAGGCGACGACAGGAACGATTGACTTCCAAGGACGATGATACCAAGGAAGTACGATAAGCTCGAGGGTCCGTTGAGACTAGAGAGTCGAGCTCGGGGGTATTTAGATTATGATATCGCGGGGGAGACGAAATGTCAAGCAGCCAGCAAGCCAAAAGTCTGGGGATTTTGCGGGGGACCGCGATAAGAGGTGTCGTCGAAGGTATATTCGGGGCGACTTGGGAGTCGGTCGACCGGGTGGGCGGGGAGTATGGGAGATTGGAAGGGCTGGCTTGATTCCAGGAGACGAGGTGCAGGTGTTATTCGGCCCTTTCGCCTTGGACCATAATGCGGGGGTTGTTCGGGGTGACCAGGAGTCAAATTGCGAAAAAACTTTTGACGTTGGACAGGTTGATTAAAGGAGCCGTCGATCTGCGGTATATAGAATTCGTTTGGTGTTTTCTGGCTTGGTTGTATGAGGAGGAAAAAGGAAAGTGTGGATAGAAGAGAGAGAGATCAGGTCAGGGAAGGGATGGGAAGACGAGAAGACAAGATGAGGTGAGAAGCGGGTTTGGCAAGAGAAGGAGATTTCGAGGAAAGACCGGGGGTGGGCAAGCAAACTGTAGGTAGCCAGAACGAGACTGAAGACTCTCTAACGCTGGGGTGGGACGAGAGGAACACAGGGTGAGGATGCGTAAGGTACTTCGCCACCGAAACTTTGCTGAGGAGTGACCTTGAGGTCCAGTTTTTACTCGTACCACCCGTCTTGAAGAGGCCAAGGAACAAGCAGCCAACCGAACTGGCGAACGGGCGAGGGATCTAAAAGGGGACTAGGCCAGCAGAGAAATTAGCAGGCATGGACAGTGCAGTAGACCAAAGAGTACATACCCGATGGGACAGTGCAACTTGGTTTAGCGACCGGGGGTGGAGACGGACAGAGAGCCCTGTAGCATTCAACAAGGTTGGCCGAGGGCGATACTTATAGGGAAATCTTGAGGGGAAACTGGCCGACTGATCGTCAGTATTAATAGACCCTGAGAATGTCTTGCTGGCTTCAATCTCAGCGTATATGCATTGAGTTATCGCTTGCAACAGATTCGTTGAATTGAGGGGAAAAGCCATCAACAGCGACACAACTGACAAAGTTTCTTGAGGCAGGCATAGCCACCACCTACATAAACACTGTGCCACGTCGACAGATCTGTTTGGACCACGCTAAAGCCTCAGCTTCACAGTGCGACTCCACTACCCAGAACGAGATCTTCCTCTGTTGGCAGTTCGCCAACAGAGACAGGCTAGACAGGTTCTTGGTAGACAGAGGAGGTGAGGCCTAACAGGAAACACATCGATCGACGATTGGGTACCTCCTCCTGCACCGAGAATTCGCGCAGCAAACAGGTTCTCTTCATGTACGTCGGTCCGACGATGTTATCGAATATCACGCGTTGCAGCGTTCACGTTATGTTCTTCGGCATGCTCCGATCACGTTCCCGGGCAAAAAAAAAAAAAAATCCACGGTTCTTCGCTTGCTAAGCAAAATACGTAGGGAAAAAGTCAATTGCTGGGCTTTCAAAAAACTCCGCTGCCAGATCTGTCTGTTCGAGATGTCAGATCATCCGTTGTTTGCTCATCGGGTGCAGCAGCGCATTTCGCGTTTAGAAACCCATCAAAGCCCCGAAAATAACTCTCCAACGTTATGCCCGCAGGCCCCCGGCCGGTGTGACAAGTGTCTCCCTGCGATGATCGAAATACTTGTCATCGTCAATAGTGACTGCTTTGGGCATAAACGCCGCTTTGCTTGAATTCCCATCTCCGCGATTGTCCAAGTTCCCGCGATGAACCTCTCCGAAAAAAGAGGTAGCCCGACCAGGTATTGCTTTTCCATATTTCCGCATATTCGGAACTTGAATGGCCTTGAATGGATGTTTTGTCTCATATGCAACCCATGTAACGAATGCACGCCCCGCTGTTCAGCAAGGGATGAGAACAAGACTTTTGATCTCCACAAATAGCTTCCATGGAAGGGCATCGTGATGATTCAGGACACGGAAGAATGTCTCTATGGGAGAGGTGCCACTTTGAGCCTCATGATCTCATGGTATCTCGTATGAGTTCTGCAGAAGGGTCCATCGATATGGATCGTTTATCGACGTTGACCTGTAACTTGAAGTCAAATACCATGCCAGATCATGTTGTGTTTCCACTTTACGATGCAGCGTATAAAAATCCATGTTGCGCATCTCGAAGCATTGACTTTTACATCCATGCATGCATGATACGATTCAAACTCGTCATGAATCACGTTGCTTCTTGCAATGTAACAGAAGAAATCTATTATAATAGTGTTCAAAATCTATACAAGTTTTACCGCTTTCTTCCCACGTTGACTGAAGATCGTACCAGTCCCACTCGCTTCAAAACACTGGCTCCATTTGCTCTCAATGTACCATATCAATCCTGAATCCGTCCCGCTCCTAGTTCACTTCTCCATATATCCCTCAATGGGTATGCTTAGGACGAACAGGAGAGAGTGAGTATCGTCGGTCTCTGTCATCTCTGCCCACGGGCTGGCTCTCCAGCGCATATCCATCCTGGCTGACAATTCGCTTCCTGTCCATCTCATGGTTGATCACGCGGCTGGGGTGGAACACGTTGAGAGATACCACTACGAGACTCATGAGGAGAGCATCGAAGATGTAGATAAAGTACTCCTTCGATTGGAGCTCACTGTCCTTGCCCATGACGTACTCGGCGACACGGAAGACGGATCGGACCATGATGAACAGACTGGCTGAGTAAAGCACGAGGAGGAGCTTCCTCCAAGGGGTTGTGATCTCTTGAGACTTTTGTGTGGGGTTGCGGTTGATACGGAGGTGGAAGACGAGAGTGACGACCATGAAGAAGCCGAAGAAAATGATCTGAATGCCTAGGCCACCGACGATGATGTTCTCGCCTCGCTTGACGGCGCTCTTAGTCTTCGCTGTTGCAAGCATACCACCACCTTTGACTGTTAGTAATGTGAAGTTTAATGACTTAGGGGTACGTACCAGCACTCTGTGCAAGGAAGGACATGACATCGCCAGCCACAAAGACTTTGGTCAACCATCGGGGGCTGATGATGGAAAGGTCGCCAGCATCGAGAAGTCGAATGAGACGGCCGAGGACCATGTAAATCGATGCGGCGAGGAGGGCTGGGCCGAGCAGTAAGAGGAGAGACTGGATGATGTAGGGGTTCTTGGTGAAGTCTGGTGCTTCTTGTGCTGATAGAGCTCGACCGACGTAGCCTACACACTCAACTGAAGGTAATGTTAGTAAAGCAATGATAAGTGAAAATTGGCGCCCACGTACAAAGACATCCGATTAAGAACGGAATAAAGTACCATGTTCGCGATCGAATAAGCTGGTATGTGTGCAATAATGCAGAAAGTCCAAAGACAACAATAAAGATGACAGCCGCCACCATATTGGGGTTATAGTTGTAGAAGATGTAGCCCGACATGATGAACGATTCTCGAATGTCGACTTATTGAGGCACTCAGTCACGTTGGTGAGGTCAATTTTGGTGATTCGTCGATGAATGTCAAAGTCAATGAGTTGAGGAGAAGTTCGAGAATATCTTGGCGTTCTTGAACAGACTATATACATATCTTTACGTGTAAACAACATCTCCCAAACAGACCCTTTCTGCGAATGCATCTAAAATTGTTCACGCTCTATACGCGGACGGGAGTTATACGTGAAGAATCTAGATCTGAGTAGCGTAGATCTCGAGAATGTGGGGCGGGATATACGCGTATATGGCAGATCAACCTCAACGACAACGACAATTATAACTACAGGCTAAGCCCTAAGCCTTACGGTTTCGTTTAACGCGCGGAATGGCTTCGATTTCGGTTTCGGAAGATATCCAGATTGGAGATGTTGATTTAGTGCGAGTCGTTGTTCAAGGGGCTGAATGAGCCATGTGGTATTTTAGTCTGCCGTTCGGCATGAAGCTGCCGAGAGATGAGGCTTTGAGTGTTGGTAGAGAACTTTTGGAGGTGTAATTAATGTTTAACGTCTGGTTTACAGTTCGTGGGGAGATTTGCCAAAGAGATGGTGAATCTATCAGACATTGTTGGCCTTTGCTACCTGCCTTGAGCTGCAACTACAGCAGCCACGGATCTTGTCAGTCTCTCCAATGGCTCGCTATTCACTTCATACGCAAAAAGCATGACCCTCCATATTACGAGGACACATGCGTCAAAGCTGTATGGAGTACGCACAGGCAGTATCTTTTCAAGCTGCTAAACACTGACTTTCGCGCTACGAATATGCTTCTTTTTCGCGTCAATCCGAAAGCGAGACAGTTTTCTTATCGATAATCACCATGTTCGTCGCTAATGCCCCTGACAACCATCGACTTCTCTCCTCTACACTTTTACTCTGCCAAGAACTCCGCGTAACACAAGATCTTGTGCATTAAAGTTTGCGGCGCAGCTGTCATCTCGCTTGAAACAAGAGCACCTCTGCGGCCGTGTCACGTATCAGCTCAACCTCACATCCGGGGTAACAAAGCTTGCGCGTTGTAGGGCGCACAAAACTCGTCTGTGCCTTTTCCTTTTCGTGTCACAACATTGAGGCGGAGTAGTTTCTGGAAAGGAGGCGCTCCCAGTTGAGGATTATGCTCCAGCCGCATCATGCGTTGTTGTTAAGTTTGCAGTGAGGGTTTGACAAAGTCAACTTCAAAGCCATGGCTTCAGCTAAAGAGGGGAAACCCGTTGTTTGATGGCGAATTAGGTATGGAAATGTCTGTTCCCCTCAATTATGACATGATCTGTGGTTCATGGCTGTCCTGGTGCTCGCTTAATTGGTGACAGATTGGTTGAGTTTGTTTGTTTGACTGAAATCCTGGTGCCACGTCGCTCATTTGAAGCTCAAGAATCAGACCATCCAGGTTCTGTGATCAAAGTGACGGTATGTCA